CCCCCCGGTGGGAAGACTCACCCGAAGAAGCCCCGGAGGAAGGCCACATAGATGAGGGGCGCAAAGAAGCTGAAGTAGAGAAATGTGGTGGCATCTACACAGCTGGGGGGCAGGAGGAGCGGGTCAGGGAGGGGCCTCCTCTGGGTGGGGCCTCGGCTTGGCCTCCCCCTGCCCACCGCCCCCACAGCCGGGCCAGTAGACACCCTGAACCCCGCCCCACCTACCAGAGCCCCTCGATGATGTCGGCGCAGAGCAGCGCGCTTCCCAGCCCCTGCAGCAGGTTGAGCAGCGCCAGGATGCCCGCATACACGTAGAAGCTCCTCCGTGCTGGGGGGTTGGGGACCGTGAGGTCCTGCCCTTGCCTCCACCCTTCATTCCCAGCGTGTCACCGGAGACCCCTCTGGGCCCCCAGGAGGACTCCCTCCCTGGCACCCACGGCTCTCCGGGGGAAAAGAGTCAACGCCCCACCCCCCCAGGGACCCAGCCCTATCCCAGAGCCACCCACCAGCTGCTTACAAGGCAGGGAGATGCGCTCCTTCAGCGGGGTCTTGGGGAGCACGACCACCAGAGAGTAGACCTGTGGTGACAGAGCAGGGCTGAGAAGGATGCTGGGGACACCAGTACCAAGGCATCCAGTCTCATGCTCTGAGGCTCCTCGGGGCCACCCCCAAGGTGCCCAGAAGGGGGGAGGGCACCCTCGGCCTCACCAGGAAGAAGAAGCAGGAGCTGACCAGCCAGAACTGGCGGCCCCCATGCCCATAGATGTTGAAGTCCTCAGCCGACAGGTGGGCATCAGGGTACAGGATCTCCAGCGTCCCCTGCAGGGGCAGGCGGGGGAGGGTCTCGGTCTCCTGCCCACCTGGAAAGCCCCCTCCCTGGGAGCTCCCTCATACAAAGCACCCGGATCTCTCCACCACCCCAAGCCCAGCTCCCCAGCCTAGCCATCAGAGATCCCCACTCCAGACTGCTCTCTGGCCTCGCCCTGCCCCCTGCCCGCCTCGCTCCACCACCCAGAATAGGCCCAGCCATGGGGCAGGGGACAGAACTGGGCAAGAGGCAGCCCCCACCAGATCTAAGGAAGGAGTCTCTAGATGGACAGCTCTCAGGGTGGTCTGCAAACCCGTATTTTCCCTACCCGGGCTGCTTCTTAAAACAGCAAGTTCTGGGCCTCCTCCCTGCCCCCACCCCAACCTATTGGATTAGAATAGGCAATAGGCAAGTAAAACCTGCCTTGTTAACAAGCACCCCAAGTAATTCCTGGGGCGCATTTAAAGTTTGAGAACACTGCACCTGATAAACATTCGAACCCTGACCCAGAATCAGGAAGCAGTGGATATGCAGCCCTCAGTGACCCCTGGCCTCCTCCAGGGAGCCCTCACAGCTGCACTGCCCCACCTCCCCTCTTACCTGGGTGACAGAGTAGGCCAGGGACAGCACTGTGGTGATGGCCAGCACCCGCTTGATGCTTGACTTACTCTCCAGGTGACCTGGAAGAAACACGCTGGTCGGTCAGGGGGAGCCAGCCAGGTGGCCGTGGTGGGGTCGGTGCCCGCTAGGGAGGGACAGGGAGAGCACTGGCCCAGCCGCACACGCACCAAAGGCAAGGCCCAGGATGACCACACTCAGCTCGATGGCCAACAGGAAGAAGCGGGTAATCTCCCACAGGATCTGGACACAGAGTGGGCAGACTGTCAGCCTGGGGGGCCCAGTCACCCCTCTCCCCAGTGCCCAACATCCCCCCACCCTTGTCAGCAGGCCCGGCCCCACCTTATCAGCAACGGTGGCAGCGTCCGAGGTGCTGACCGTCATGGACACCACGGCCCGGGCGATGCCCACCAGCGCCACTACGAACACCTGGTGGGCAAGAGCGGGGATGCCATTAAGGGGTCAGGGAACGAGGCCTCTGGGAACAGCGGGACTGCAAACCCACATCCCGCCTCTGCAGGAGCCTCTGATTCTTCGAGAACAGAAGGATTCTACGCTAAGAGTCGGGGGTGGGATGTAGGGGGGTGGCGAGATCCTCCGCTGCTGGTGACAGTTCCCTCTCCGGCCTCAGTTTCCTGGCTACACTGGCAGCCTGAGAATGGTGACATTCTTAGGGGTCACATGGTGGGTCCCCGCTGCCTCCTGCCTCTGTGACCTCGGGCCAGGAAGTGCACCTCCGTGCCTCAGTTTCCTTATCTATGAAATGGGGTAAAACTAGCATGCACTGCATTTGATGGCTGGCAGGGGCAAATGGGTAAGTACATGTAGCAGAAGCATGCGTGGCACCCAGTGAAAGCGAGGTGCATGTAGGGCACTAGCACTGTCATGTTAGCGGTTTTATTTCCAAGACACGGGGGATGGGAGGGTGCAGGGAAGAGACATCAAAGACCCTGGGGAGGGCTACTGCACCGGCAGGCGGTGCAAAAGTGCCTGGATTTTGTCACCCCGGTGTCCACTCACTTCTTCTGGCAACAGCCTCCTCCCTCTCCCTGCTGCTCACATGGTTCGGGGGGGGGGGCTGACCCCACCACGCCTGGCTTCAGGGGCTGGCCTGTAGCACAGGGCTGGGCATTCAGCCTATGGCATTCCCTGATTTGGGGATGGCGGGGGGGATCCCAAGGGAGTCTAGTGAAAGGCACGCCCAGGACAGCAGGTGCAGCCACTAGAGGAAAGGAAGCTGAGGAGCGCGCCAGCCTGGAGCTGCCGGGCTGCCTGGCTCCAGAAGGGCGAGACTGCTAGAGGCAAGGCCATCAGAGAGACCCAAGCTGACAGGGAGACAGAGACTGTGCCCCCACGGCATTGCCGAGCCCCTGAATCTAGCCATGCCTGAAGCCCTGGGACTTGTCAGTTTCTCAGTCAATATGTTCCCTCCAGCTTCTATGAATTTAACTTTGGTTTTCTGGGATACATACAAACAGGAGAGTCCAGGTACAGGGCCGCCTGAGTGGCCCCGTCAGTTAAGCGTCACAATCATGGTTTTAGCTCAAGTCATGATCTCGCGGTTTGTGGGTTTGAGTCCCAAGCCTGGCTCTGTGCTGACAGCGAGGAGCCTGCTTGGGATTCTCTCTCTCCCTTTCTCTCTGCCCCTCCTCACTTCCTGCCATGCACGTGCTCTCTCTCTCTCAAAATAAACAAATGTAAGGAAAAGAAGAATCCAGACACACACAACAGTCTGTCCTCTGTGCCACAAAAACCGTGTCAGCCTCCTGGGAAGGCTGACCCCAAGATCACAGGAGCGCCCCAGGGTAAAGCAGACCCAGTGCACGTGACGTGAGAAGGAGGGCACTGAGGCACAGAGAGGCCAAGCTACCAGTCCAAGGTCATTCAGCACAGCTGGGGTCCGGAGATAGCCTGAGTCAGCCCTCACCGCTGTCTCCTGAGCTTTCTAGAACAGAGTCCCCAGGAATACGAGGGCAGTGCTGAGTCCCCTGTCCCTGCGTCGTGTTCCTGGGCATTGGCCTTGGATCACTTCTCCCTGCCTGCTCCCCCAGAGAGGGCATCGGTAAGTGATGCTTTAAATAAATGCTTTATCTGTGGAATAAATACTCATCTCTGTAATGAATCAGAGAGGCAGCGGGAGACAGAAGGGAGCAGGCTTCAACGCCCACCACTGCCTCACAGAGGAGGGGGCTCCAGTCAGCCAGCGACCCCTGGGGCCTCCACCAACGGCCTCCAGGGTTCCACACAGCCTCCCCTGACCCTGCCTGCCCGCTGACAACTCCCCTGCTTGGGAAGCTCTGAGCCAGGCCACAAAGAGGGGGACCAGAGAGCCATTCAGCTCTCAGGCAGTGGTAGCTAAGAGGCAGAGAGAGGGGAGGATTCCAGTCAGTCAGGCCTGAGCTCTGAAGGATGCAGCTGGATGGCCCCGCACCTGGAACCCTCACCTGGAAGCCACACCTGGGGCCCACCTTCTCAACCACAGCCCTGCTACCTCTCCCGAGGAGGCCCACACCAAGAGCACTGACTGAGGAGAATTCAGGTTTGCCCAACAGGCAGGAAGAGGTTCCAAAGAGGTCTCAAAGAGTGTGTGGATGGCTGGATGGACAGACGGACAGATCGGGGGGGGGGGGGGG